CCCCGCCACAGCCACACCCGCCCCCGAACCCGCCCAACGCCCCGCATGGCCCCTGCTTCGCGTGCCCGCCCCCACCGCGCCCACCCCATCCTCACCTGTCCCCGAGCGCAGGGCGTCCTGCATGCCGGTCTTCTCCTGGCTGTCGCGCACGCGGTCGGGGTAGGACTTCTGGTCCGTGAACTCGAGGGGGTCCATGGGGGACAGCGTCTCATCCAGGGGGCGCCACGTGCCTGTAGGCGCAAAGGCCGTGCCGGGGGAGGGCCGGTGAGCGGGCGGTCGGCGGCGGAAGGGGCGGCGGGCGCGGCGGGGGCGGCGCCGTTTGCCCCGGCCGGGGCGGGCTTTCACCCTGCTCCGCACGTGCTCTCCTGCGGGCGGCTGCGCCGGCCCTTGCTGTGTCGTGTCACGCAGGGCCAGCCTGATACCGCATTCAACACTCCCCTCTCCCTGGCTCCCCTCGCCGCTGCGCTGCGCCTGATCATTCACACTCACACGGTGCGCGCACTCGCACGCTTGCGCGCGCACATGCGTACGCGAGACAAACACACACACACACACACACACACACACAAACACACACACAAACACACACACAAACACACACACGCGTCAACGCACACACATACACACACACCCTCTCGTACGCCCACCCGACCCCGCCCCGCCTCACCGGGGTCTATGAGGTGCTCTATGCGCTCCTGGCTGGTCATCTTCAGGTGGTAGTTGCAGCCGAAGCAGATGTGGTGGTGCTCCTTCAGGTGCTTAACATAGAGGATCACGCCGCACTTGTCGCAGCGGGTCCAGAGGCCCTTGCTGCGGTCAACAGGCTTGGCGCCTTTCTCGGCGGCCACGTCCGAAGCGGCGGCGCCGACGCCGACGCTGATCGGGCCGCTCATGATGGGGTTACCGTCGTAGGCGCCGTTGCTGGCCTCGGCGCGGGCGGCGACGAGCGGGCGCGAGGGGGCCGCGTGGGGCGCGGCCGGGCGGGCGCAGGGCGCCTGGGTGGGCGGGAAGGCGGCGTGGGGTGGTTGTATGGGCGTGCGTGATCGGCACAGGGAAAGGGGTGACCCTAACGGTGGACCATGTCGCACTGTACTGCATGTGTGCAGCATGCAGAGGGAACCAATGGGCCCAACTTGAGGCGCCCTGGCCCGTGCGCCGCAGCGCGCGTTTGCCGGCTTGCTGCAGCGCCCACTGGCACATGTGCCCTCCGCCATTCACGCCTCAGCGATGCAATAAATGGTTATAATATGGTTCAATTGGTGCATATGAACCAGGCCCATCTACAACGCGCTGACGGGGCCGCTGGTTTGATCAGACTCTCCACCCACGCGCCAGGACCAGCCCCATCGCCCGACAGCGTGTATGAGGCATCGATAAAATACTGGATTGCTTGTATGCACCGTTATCCGCACGAAAAACGCTCTCCGGCACGGCCCAATAACGCCAGTGCAATGGGCCGCGGACAGGCCGTCCGATAGCCCTGGACGCAGCACATATATAATCTGATGCATCAATGGACCCACCTGCCCCCGTGCCGCCCCAGCAGCCCCGCTGCTCAGCCTCTGGGCGTTCAGCATGCCGTCCTGTTCGAGGGCTGGGCAAAGCTACGATGAGATCGGCTGGATGGTCGAGCGCAACACGCTCCGATGATGATTGGTGAAGGTCACATGGGTGCACCGTTGCATACCCTGGCGTGCGTCCAGTATTGACTCTCCGACTCACCGTCGTCTGGTGACTGGCGTACTCAGGCTTCGCTGTCGCATTTCCTGCATCGTATGGGTTGACACTGCCAGCCTCCACCAAGCCCTGCCAACCATCTATACTGTCACAAAGCGTATACCGACTCGGGACATCCAAGTTCCACAGATATCTTCCTCGACAGGTGTCGGCTGGCGGGCGTCAGCGCTCGGAGCCCAGTGCCAGCTGCCGAGCTGCGGGCACACCCAGCGTGTCTACGAGTGTGCAACCCAGGTCTGGAGAAGTTGCAAGTATTCTGGTAGCTGGTGCATGCCCATGCACAGCGAGTTTGATCAAGAATAGCTACCAATACGTTGACATGCTGTGCCCAAGGGTGCGCATGGGGTCAACTTCAAGTCGCCCACTGTCCTTGGCCAGACGCCGCTGACGTCGGTCACATGCACAAATCATATTACAGTAGTTTTCTCCAAAAGTTTGGAAAGTTTCTCTATTCGTGGAAAGGAAGATCAACAGGAGTGAGTGCAGACCCAAGCCAAGCAGCTGGGCGCTGGGTTAGAGGAGCACTGGGAAGCATGAGCCTCGCCAGGCGGCAGGAGGTGCGGGCGCCGCCGCTGCCGCCGCCGCCTTAAGCCCCCCCTACCGGTCTATGTTGAGCACCAGCGCCACCCCCTGCAGCACCCAGTGGCTGGGGTGCTCCCCCGTCGCCAGGTCAGCCTCGAACACCAGGCCCCCGCCCATGGCGTTGCGCCGCGACTGGGTGACGTACACGGGCGCCCTGAACGTGTTGGCCAGCCGGAGCCGCGCCGCCTGGGAAGGAAGGTTGGGCAAGGGGGGGG